GGAGAAGTGGACCCGGTTGCAGGGCATGCCTCAGCATCAGGCCATGCTAAAATACATGAGTATTATCAAAGAGTGGCCTGGATATGGGTCCACTCTGTTTGACGTGGAGGTGAGGAAACGACAGAGGAAATGATGCATCACAGAGATTTGCAAAAAGAAAAATACCTGACAAGAAACATCTTCTTTTTCCTTCTCCTATGTTTCCTTTGTGTTTTCAGTGCAAAGAAGGAGGTTTCCCTCACGATCTGTGGCTGAGTGTGAGTGCTGACAATGTGTCGGTGTATAAACGCGGTGAACCAAAGCCACTGGAGACCTTTCAGTACGAACACATCACCTTCTTTGGCGCTTCGCAGCCGTGTACCTACAAGGTCATCGTGGACGAGAGGGAAATGTTCTTTGAGACGCCACTGGTGAGTCATTATCCATGTTTTCTTTTTTCTTTTCCTCCTTTACAACAACATGTTATTTATATCATTGATTAATTGTTTGATCTAGAAAATATTGGGTACGGTAGTTGATCTTTTGACTTGATGCTGATCCGACTGGGTAAGAAAGTGAGATCATTAAGTTGGTGGTTCTTTATGCCGGCGTTCCTTTTTTCATTCTTTCATATCTGCTGGGACTTTATGTTTCCCCGATTGTCTCTGCTTCTGCTGCTTTGATTTTTCTATATTTTTTTCTATTCTTGTGAATCCCTTATCTTTATGGAAATGTTTGCCAATTCGCCGTGTACCTTTCATTTCACCAAAAGATGATCATTTGATAGAATCCTGATGAGGACAAATCACATTCTCCTCTCTCTCCAGGTAGGGGAGATCACCAAAATCATGAGGGCCTACATTAACATGGTGGTGAAGAAACGCTGCAGCATCATGTCAGTGACCAGCATCACTAGTTCCTGGGTCAGGTGATTGCCACAAACCAGTTAGAGCCCTCGCTTTCATCCAAGGAAGACGGATGCTTGGAGCCACGTGCATCGGTTGGTTGTTTTTATTAATGGAGGCAGTCGCACCAGCCAGCTAGTATTCCTCAAAGAAGAGCGGTGGATGATCGAATGGGGGGGGTGGGAAGCCAGATAGAGGTGGACACAGAAGCCAAAGGCGCACTCTACTGTCCTGGCTCTCACTTATAAAGGACAAAAGGGGGTGAGGGATCTATTCAGACACGTGCATGACCAAGAAAATGACATGCATTTTTCGGGACGGCGTGTAAAAATTACATGAACCCACCAGTTCCAGTCCTGCATGTAGATGTTGAAGCACACTCCAAACCGTTCCCTTTCCGGACTCAACTCAGTAACAACAAGCACAACTCCGCCGCCCTGTCCCAGTCCGTCCCAAGTGTCCCTCCCTCCCTACCCAAATCCCCAGTGCACTGCCACACAGAAGACAGCCACTCTTGCCCAGCTGAATCTTTCTCTCTCCTCCAATTTCAAGACTCTCTCTCTTTCTCTTCACGTGTCCTCGCTCCTGTTGCATCTTTGTTTGCTCTCGGTATTGAGTTATTACGCTTATTTCTTGCTTGCTTTTGTCTCTGTCGTTTACCCGTCACATCAGCCGTGTCACATCTGTTTATGACTGAGAAAAAAAAAAAGCGGACTCGATGAGGATTCTTCTCCCGGCTGCTACATGGGAAAATGAGCTCCGTTGCCCGACAGAGTGTTCACTCGCTCACTCGTCAGTGCCACCGTGTGGCCACAAGAAAAAGAACACAGCCAAAGAAAACCTTTCTGAATAATATCAAATAGATATTCTCGCAAATAAAAAGAATAGAGGTTTTCCTTTGGAGGCTCTCTGGTCATGGACACGGAGAGTCCCTGCATGGTTAACACCCTCACACTACAAGTAGAACAATATCAACCAGAATAGTATGAGTCGAATCATTTTCCTATATATGTCTACATGTAACACACAGTGCAAATATCTATTGTATATTCACATACACGTACACTTAAACTAAACCAACATGTATTGTTTTGTACCGTATATCACACATTCTAAGAGTTAATATTGAATATTTCAGTGGACGCTGCACTGTACAGTATATAAATGCCATACCAAATGCAATGTGACACCCCTTGTGTTAAATACATGCAAATGATTGGCGTGAATAATGACCACCGTACTTCCGGATATGATGCCAACACTGTACTTCATTCACTGGCTGTGCCATTAATGTGACTGGAAGATGAATTTATAGTAAAAACAGACTCTAATGAGACAGGCTGCTGTGGTGGTCGTGTTTCCACAGTGTTTTCATGGTTTTACCTTTGTCGTTGCCTGCGAGACTCACTCTGCAGCATTAATTGGAGCCATAGATTATTGTGTACTCTTATCTGCTCATGCTGTTCTCACTTCATTTATTTTTTGAAATTCAGTAACTTAAACAAAAATACATAAGAGCTCCAGTTTGTCTGTGTTTCCAACCTGTTTATTAATGTGACTTTTAATAATGATACTACTAGTATTACTGTACTGTATGCCCTGTGCTATCTTAACCACCCTGAAGTGCTGTGTCTGGAATGATGCTGTGTGTGTGTGTGTGTGTGTGTGTGTGTGTGTGTGTGTGTGTGTGTGTGTGTGTGTGTGTGTGTGTGTGTGTGTGTGTGTGCGTGCGTGCGTGCGTGCATGTGTGTGTATTTATGGTTTACCAGTTGGAAAAGAAAAGGGAAATGAGAAGTGTTTATTATGAGTGTATTCATTGGAAATAAGATGTATTTACATGACTAACTTTTATCAAAGAATGGTGTTGTGATTGTGAGTTAAATGGAAAAGCATGGAATTATTAGGGCTAGGGGTTTCTTAATTCTTATTGAACTGTATGTATTGCAAAGTGTGTTTGGGAGGATAATGTGTAACACAATGTATTGGTTATTTTTAGTTTCAGTCAAGGCAGAGCAGAAAAGGCACTGTGAGGATATGGGCTCAGAGATGGTTTTAATTGTGCACTGGGAATACTGTCAGTCATCACTGATTCTCTGTGTGTGTGTGAGTGTGTGTGTCTGTGTATGTTTTTGGATGAAAGTCAATGTTCTTTCACCTAAATCTGTGGCCCTGCAGAGAGATGGCAGCAACCCTATAAAACATCTTTGTTAATAAAGTGTTTCATAAACTATCAAACTATACAACAGCAGATATTTAAAGGAAGTTGAACTTCTTATGGGGGTATTGTCTGCTGTCTATCAGCAGGGCCACTTTTGGAGCCAAAGCCTGGATTTTCGGGGGAGGGGCAGAGAAATACTGAGGTCATGAGTCTTGACTGAGGTCAAAACTTTCAACCCCCAAACCAACCCCTGCCCTTTAGAAAATGATATAAAACACACCAAAATGATATGATATGGAATATTTCCTATTTGAAGTTTGAAGTTTAGGTATGGATGTGTTTGTGGATTTTATTCCCCCACGTGATTTCATGGTGTTTCAGAGCCCACGTTACATGAAATACAATTTGTTGAGGAAATGGCAGATTTCTTTGGTTATTAGTCTACTGATATATATAGGACTTAAACCACTTTTGCTCAATTACCCAAAATTTCTAGAAAATGACCCAGGACATGACCTCAGTTTCCTCAACGGTAGCTTTGGCCCTAGTTGCACACATGCAGCCCACTGGGAACCGGCCTATAGGCCTAGAATAAACAGAACAAACTGACAGGCTCCTGTTTGAACTTTAGGTTATTTTAGTTTGGGCTAAAATGAGAGAACCAGCGAACCCGTAAGCCATAATTATGGAGCATCTGTCTGTTCAAATCATTCTACATCTACGGTTATGTCTGTCACTGATATTACACTGAGTAGGAAGAAGTTGCCCGTTGCTGAAATGTGAGCAGAGATAACAATCAACAATAAATCGAATTGAGATTTCTGATCGTTTCCAAGGGCAACTTCATCAACCCGGGTCCTGTTATCAGCCGCAGGCGGCCAGAGTGGGGCCCATTCTTATCTTATGTTATGCTTATTATCATCATTAACATAGTAAACATTGTGCTCGTTAAGAAAAAAAATGAGAAAGAGAGAGATATGTGTGTTCTTTTTTCTTATTTGTAACTGGCTTTACAAAAGTATGCTTTAATAAATTATTGGAATTATTGTCCTCTATTTCATGTTGTCTGGGGATTCGATTTGTAAATTTAGGCTCCATTTATGTTGTTTATTACTTACTTACTATACTTCCACTGCATTTTCAGCATTGTACTTAAAGTTCTTTGATGTTTCATTAACTACTATATAATAACTTTACAGATTAAAGACATTTTGGGAACTACAAGTGGCCCATTTGCTTTCCGGCAGAGAGGATTGATATCCATTTTGTAATATAGACAAATAAGGGGAGCCCTTTTTTGAAAACTTTAAAAAATATATATTGTTAACAATACTTATACTTTACTTTTATTTTTTTGACAATGCTGACTTGGTACTTTTGCTTTATAATGTAGAGTACGCATTAAACCTAGTTTATGCTTCTGCGTTTTCAGAGCGACGCAGACGCAAGACCCCCTTGCTGCGGGAGGCTGCGATTGGTCCGCTAACTACGTCCTTTACGGAGTCTCACATTTCCGCTTTCATAGCCCAATAGCACCATTATTAAAACGAAGAATGTTTACGAGAGAACGGATCAGATTGAAGAACTTTTGTGGGAAGAAATGCGTAAATATGACCGCTTATACAAGCCGTCATTTGCGGGTTGTAGAAGCGGTGCGTTGGATTCATGGAGGGAGATCGCCGCAAACGCCGGTCGAGAAGTGCACAAAGTTGTGGAGGAAAATACGGGACAAATGTGTCCGCGATGAAAAGCAGCAGTGGCGATGCACGGGGCAATAAAGTCTATGATAAATAAATCAATAAATAGACGTGACTCTCTAGGTCGTCTTCAACAAAACACGTCACTCCACCTGTTGTTCTGGCGGTGAATTGCTCTGCAACACACGCAAAACTTTTTGAACCATGAATTGAAACGAGTGCGTCGACGCAGACGCAGACGCAGAAGCATGCGCCAGCCCAGATAAACACGGCACAGACGCGCACGCACGCCTCCCCCCTTTTGTCTTCCGTGCGTAATGGGCGTGCGTCGGGATTCGGCTTTTGGTTCCTTGTAGAAGAAGGATCACTTTTCCAGTTTCGGCAGCCAAAACATTTCCGGCTTTTGCGCTCACGAGTTTTCCAAATCCTCTCAGAGGAAAAGTCTGCGGAATAACCAGCATCGAGGCGTCGTGATGATGGATTCGCGGAGTTTAGCTGCTGCTCTCCTGCTTCTTTTCGGTTTGGCGACAGTTTTCGCTCAGACTTCCGCACCTGGCAAAGGTAGGAGGTGGAAGCAGTGACTCTGCGGTTACTAAACTGCGTTGTTTTTGTTTTTTTTGTTTCACAAATCCACGCTATGACTGACTGTAATGTTTTCAGTTCCTTGTTTCTGACGCTTTCTGTTGAAATAATGGGAGTAAAGAAAACACGTTCGTTGAGCCGCGGTCTTGAATTATACTCCATTGTTCGGATGAACAGTCTGGTTTAAACCCATTTATCATACTTGAGAAAATCTCGGGAAAGGTTAGTCAGCAGGTACAATGTCTCCATTAGGTCACAGCTCCTTCCTCAGGTGTTCTGTTTCAGAGTAACAAACGCACCCTGCGCATAACAATGATACACTTTATTTGACGGAACAAGCTGTTGCCCCACGCACTGTGCCGATAATACTGGTCTGTGTTTACTGTTCTGTCTCCATGGAAAATGCCCCAGGAGAATCAGCAGTAGTTTACCCAAAAATCCCCAGTGAGCACAAGGCCGCATTCAGCTCGGAGCACTTTCTCTGTGGGAAATGTTTGGTGCTCTCACAGTAACCGTGTTTGACTGACTTCCCTCGCTCAGTTGCCTTTTTTTGAGGATGGTTTTGGGTGTTCTAACTGAATTGCCTTTCCCCTCCCCGCCTCCCACAGCGTGTGAGACGAAGAATGGGACGAGCTGCGAGGAATGTCTGCAGAATGTGACGGTAAATCCTGCTGCGTGTGTGTTGGAACTTCAGCCTGTGGCTAAAGTTGTTCAACTGGTTTGAGGAGTACCTGCTCTGTCATCCATTCCCACCCTTTTTGCTCCATTTTCTCATTTTAGTGCGTGCGTGTCCAATAATGGGCATGAGTTGTTTGTTCATATGGTTCTGGTATTTCTACAGTGCCTTTGGTGCATCAAGACCAAGATGTGTCTAACGTATCCAGCGAGGACCATCCTTCCTCCCCATGCACTCTGTCCACTGAATGACGCACGCTGGGGGCTCTGCTGGAGTAAGAGGACACACACACACACACACACACACGCAGATCCACAATCTTTATCCACGTATGAGGTACCGGAATTATATATCATAAATGATTCCATTCAGTGCATACACCAAAGATCATTAATTAAAAATGATTTAAGAGAAACGCCGTAAATTGTATTTGAGAAACAAATGGATGACATTAATCAGTTCTAAAACAAAAGCTGTTGATTCATATTCTGTCAATCGATTACTGAGTCGACCAACTAATGATTTCCAACTTTCTTCAATGGCTCATTGTGGGTCATGTACAGAAAATTGTAATGAGGGCCAAGCAATACTAAATTCAGTTGTTTTCCACAACAGATAATGTGTGAAAATGTTTCGTGGTGTCCTTTCATCAACGTAACATATTCCTTAAAAACTGAAGCTAACATGCTTTCCCCTTATTAATGTGAAATGTTTTACTGTATTTGGTTCCTGAATGTTTACCTTATCAAATGAGGTAAATTATTTCACTGACAATTAAATAAATGTAGATAATAGTTGTTTAAAATTGCATCAAAATGATGTGTTTACACTAAAAAGTGCAATGTACTTAGTTAAATTTATTTTAAATAAAGTTAATATATATTAAACGTGCCAATAACAACACAGCAGTTGATCAAAGTAGGCTGCAGTTTACCAACATAAAATAAGCTCAATAAATGTATTCCAATGGCCACAGAAAATACTTGCATCAGATTAGGTGGCTGTAATTCCATTCCAGGTAAACATAAGCAGCAACGCATATCTGGCATGTAATGGTTAATTGCAAATAAGTACTGAGACAAAGAAATCCCCATTGCTCACAATGGTCTAATTCAGTTAAGGATTTTTGAGGGCAGCGGTACCAGTAGCCAAATTCAAACAGTACAGGATAAACATACGAGCCTTATCAAGCACCTGAAGGTCAGTGGGTGAGAATGCTCCGGTCATTTATAGCCATCGTGCATACAGAGATTAGAGTGACCGTGCCAGCGAGAGAAACCCAAAAGGCGTAGAATTAGTTTGACATTGTGTTCTCCTGTCTAGTGAACTTCCAGACGTTGATAATCACGTTGGCAGTGATTGGTGGAATAATCATCATCGCCTTCCTGGTCTGCCTGTTCTGCTGCTGCAAGTGTGAGAACTTTGGGTAAGTGTTTGAAAGGACGCAACCGCATTGACCGAGTACTTGTATGATGACCTTCTGGAAAAAGCTCAAACATCATTCCTAAATCTTGATGCTAAGTGGAACCCATCTGACGAGCCATGTGTAAAACAATATTATACGCTCTCACAATGATGACAACTGTTATTTTAGTGTAAATTCCGTGAAAAGTAAAAAAACAGGAAATGTTTTATTGTTTAGATGTATATCCGGTTTTTCTGTGTTTTGCCTGTTTAACGCCGTATCCCATCTCTCTCCCTCTACCCCTTTCAACTATGTTTCCATAAAAATCAATCTAACCTTCTGAGATATGGAGCTGTATCGCCCCTTATCAGTATAAGTAGCACACAGCCGCTTTAGTCTGCGGAAAAGGGAAGGTGATGGATTCATGGTGATTTGTAGAATATTCTGTTTGATGAGCGTTTTATCAGTTAGCCAGTTTAAGCAGTTACAAAGAATGTCTAACCTTCGGTACACAGATATTGTCCCAGAGGGTTTAAGGATAGTTGGCTGTGTTTAAGGCTCGAGAAAGAACTCTCTGTCGGATGGATTCCTTTGTCCATGCTATGTGATTATGATCTATGTTGAGACATTTCCCCCTTGTCAAGATAATATGGCCACATACAGTACAAACTGTAATTTATTGTGTGTCAGATCCAAAAGGGCGGAGGCCAAGATGGAGAAACAGGCCAATAAGACGAGAACCAAGCAGGAGGAAAGGTGAGAACAATAATCTTTTGTGAACGCAAAGAGTTTCAAGCCTTATCTGTCTGTTTTATTGAGAGTGCATCTTTATCTGGAGTTGGCTCCCCTGTGCAGAAACATGTTCCAAGAAATATTGTCCATCACCACCTAAAATGTCCTGTGTTACCGCTCTCAAGTAGTCTTTTAACCTTAATGTGTTGGATGGTGTCATGTTACAGAATCTTCATGATCCAAATCCGTTTCCTTCATAGCACACAATAGCACACGCCAAATTGTTACCTGTCAGAACTGGTTTGTGGCCACATGACTTTTAGGCGTGTTCAAAATATTATTATGGTCACTGTCCCACTGTCACTCAGGAGAATGCTTTGTCTTTACAGGCGGGCAGAAATGAAACAGAGACATGACGACGTCCGGAAGAAATATGGTGAGAGAACACTTTTTCATAGAAAACGCTGAATGAAATTGAGCTTTCTCAGGTTAACACTTGATCGAAATGAATTAACAAATTATTAGATGTTTTTAGAAAATGTGCCTATATGATTTCTAACTAAAGCTTACATGAAAATAATTACACCAATGGCATGTTTGTAGTAAATCTGACGCTACCAACAGCCAGTGAGCTTAGCGATGCACAGCACTGAGACTGGAAAAAGTCGGGGGGGAAAAACAGCTACCCTGTTAAAGATTTACCTCCAAAGATCACAAATGAAGACGTTATGGCATTATTAAGACCCTTAATCCTATCAAAAACAAACGTGTAAAAGTGACATTTTGGCGGTACAGTTGCTCCCTGGACCCACAAGTCGCCTCAAAAACTAGTGTTGGTGTGCTGTTTTACACTGTGGTATTTAGATCTATATGATCACAATATAATGCGTTAATAAGTGAACCTAAGAGGTGCTAGTAAGCACTTTATGTACCTTCATACAGAGCCAGGCTTGCTGTTTCCCTTTTCTTTCCAGTATTTGTGCAAAGCTTAAGTAAGCAACCTGATTTTGGTAGCTTTATATTTAACTGGCAAACATGGGTGCCACCGTTCCTCTTGTCTCACTCCCAGTAAGGAAACCATAATCCCCATAACCTCAGAATACTTTCTCATACCAATGACCCCACTGATTGTGTTTTGTTTCTCCAGGTCTAAGTGGGCCAAACCCATACTCCAAATTCTAAACCACGACCCTTCTGTTTTTCCCTGAACTCCGACCTCTCATGCATGATACATCAACATGTTTTGCAGGCATGAGAATGTCTGTAAACTATAATTTAAAAAAAGTGTGCGTTGTTTTGTATGTATCCATATCTATGCATTTCTATATAGAGATATGAAGTCAGGCTTGTCTGGCTTCCTCCAGCCAATGAACAAGGATGTTGTGTTCAATGTGCTGACCTAAGAGGCTGTAACTAAAAGCTAGAATAGACGTGTTGCAGCAGTGTTCTTCAATACTACAATAGTCTTCCCTGTGGCTCTTATAGAATACGTCTAGTTGTACTATTTATTAGGAATAACTCAAGTTTAATTGTACAAAATGGGGAAAAGAAAAAATCAATTCTGTTTTGTCTAATTAAAATCTGTTGCACCTGTAAATCTATTTTACTCCTCTGAGTTGCTGCTGATTTAGCAATCTTCTCTGGGAATGATAGCCTATTTTTGTACTTGGATGTAGATTTCCTCTCTAGTTCCAAATTGCCTCATTCCTTGTCAAAATCTAGGTATGTATGTTTCACAAAAAAACATTTTCAGTTCAATTCATTTTGGATTTTTTAATTTGTTGATCGTGGATTTGGATGTTTATGTAATTCTACATTTGCCGTAATTCTAAATAGAAGACTTTGGATTAATTATTCAATTAGTGCAGATACTTTTATTGCTTGTATGTTGTCTGCACTGTGCTTTTATTAAAACTGTGTTATTAAAAGGTGAAAGTTCATTGATTAAATCTGTCGTGGCTCTAGTACCCGATTTTGAGAAGTTTAAAACTCTTTGCCCAAGTTCTTTAGAGGCCGAAGGTTGACACCTGCTGTTTTACACCAAAATAATATTTGGTTTCAATGAATCCTGAGCATAAATTGAAAATTCTGTATAACAAACACAATTGTGATAAATCATTGTGAAATAATGGGATAGTGGATTTTTAAAAAGGACTATACTGAATTCCAATTTTCTGAAGACATCCATTGATATTGACAAAGAAAATTAAATAACTATCACTAGATATGTATGTAATTCATTAAATAAATAATACAAAATATTATGTACTTATATTTAGTTGAAATTAGTTGGTATTATTATTGTAGACACTAGGGACTAGTGAGTGTATGCATAATAAACACATTTCAATTTAGTTGATACAAATATTTAATGGCAGACCTTTTTGAATTTGGATACTTCACTGCAGCTATTATGCATACCATTGCATACTCTCCATTGTATACTCTTGCATACCATGCAACCATTATTACATAGCTGTAATGGTTCTTTTAAAATACCATGAGGCATAAAATCTTCATTTTTATGCTAGAGGTTTTCTTGAAGGTTGTTCAATTAGTCTTCCGTCTTTTGTTATGGGCACAAATAAATTCACAGCTAATTCAGAAAGGACTAATAAGTATTAAGTATAATATTAAGATATGGAAAAACAATTTGCAGTCAGTTCAGAAAGGCGAAGGCCCAAACACATTGTCACTAACATCTGAGTGTTAGCGCCGATGTTTTATTTTTCAAAGCCATACATTGTTTTTAATTGCACTGTAGTGTGAACTTATGCATGCAAATGTTTCTAAACTTAGTTTGCCACAAATGCACGCTAAAGTACGAGTACTCCGAGGTGTTGATATGGTACTGCCATCATAGGTTATTCTGTCCGCGTGCTCGAGTATTTGTTATAGGTGCGCGCCCCCGTTTCCGCGCTCCCGCGGTTTGGTCGTCACGGGGTCTTCACGGACCAATCGTGTAAGTCCAACTTACGTCCAAAGCGCGTACCCGTCGGCGGAGGAAAGGAGAGGACACAAGGCGGCAGAAAGACAAATTCCGCTCAATTAACCGAATATTCTGAAAACACGCACACGAAATACAGCCAAGATGTCAGAGGAAAAGCCAAAGGTAAGATGATGGTTTAGAGAGCCGCACGTTTGAAGAGGTGGCTGGGTCGAGCTTCTGCCAAACCATTTCTCCAATGTGCAATCTAAAAATGGCCTGGTTTGCACGTTTCTCTGAATCGGCGCAGTGTTTGTTTCGCAAATGAATGAGTACCCGCGCAGCCGTTTCCACGTACCTGCGCGCACACGCTGTAAGTGGTAACCGGGTTTATTCTGACTAACTAATTAAAGTCTCGAAGACTGCGGCCAAACGCAGCAATCGCACCACGGTTGTCATTTGCGGATTTTTTTTTTCTTTGTCAAAACGCGACCACGTTATGTCCGCAACCCCATAAATGCCGCAACTGCAGCGGCGATAAAAGAGCGCCAATGGTGGCGAAGAACGCACGTAAAATAACCGGAGCGCTTCTTGCGGTCGTGGTTTAAACGTCGCAGGGTTTGTTTTTGCCTCCGCACAACAAAACAAAAGCGCTAGCATCGTTAGCTCGGCAGCTAAACTTAGCGGTCTTCTTAAAGGGCTGCCGTGCAGACCGACTAGTCCGGAGCTAACATGCTAACGTTAGCATCCGTGACTGAAGTAACGCATTGTGACCTGGCTGCAAAACTCTGCACCATGTAACTTTGTTTGGGTCCAAATATTGACAGAATAGTGGAAACCTCACATTTTGTTCAGGCGTTAAGTGACGTATTATAAAGTTTCAGCCTGAAGTCGTGTAGCTGTTATGGTACTTTGCTGTCTTTATGTGCTCTTGTGTATTGAGTCTTTAATGAGCTCTTGATGTTTGTGGCATCATCGTTACTGCTGTTTTACCTGATTCTCAAACGCCTTTTGGTTTTCTGCAGGAGGGAGTAAAGACCGAGAACGATCACATCAACCTCAAGGTTGCAGGGCAAGATGGGTCGGTGGTCCAGTTTAAGATCAAAAGGCACACACCGCTCAGCAAGCTAATGAAGGCGTACTGCGACCGACAGGTGAGCCCATCGGAATGACTTCCGCTCCCAACATGCTACACCTCGATCTGCTCGACTTGCACACTCTCTACCTCGCTGTCGTTGACCCAAAAATCCTTTCATTCACCCTCTTGTCTTTCGCTGCTCCTGCAGGGCCTGGCGATAAGGCAGATCAGGTTCAGGTTTGATGGCCAGCCTATCAATGAGACGGATACACCTGCACAGGTAAGATCCTATTATCTTACTCACAGATGCATCATCCTATTCCTCACTGCAACCAGATTTCTGCATGATGGTAAAACGATAACTCTCTTTTCCCCCTCTGCTTCTCTCAGCTGGAGATGGAAGATGAAGACACCATAGATGTTTTCCAGCAGCAGACAGGCGGCCACTGTTAAGCCCTCTCCACCTCATTGACGGCCACCTTCAGTGCCCTCTCCCCACCCCTCCCCCCCAGCCACTTTCACTGTCCCCTCCATGCCTCCTCTGCCTATCGTCGTTGTTGTTATTATTATTATTATTATTATCATTATCATTATAATAATGATAATGAATTTTATTTCTTCAGTTTCAAGATGTCTGTCATGGTTTTTCGTCAGGTGTGTGAGGGGCTCCTCAACTGTTTGTGTAGTGTCTAAGCCAGGACTGAACTTTTGTGCGCGTCAACAGTCTCCCCGCTGGCCAATCAGGACGTTTCCTCCTGGCCGCGCAGGCTGTGATTGGACCAACAGTACGTCACAGCTGTTCCTGGTTTGTCTCGCACTCCTCATTCATTCTCCGGTGAAAGCTTAGTATCCAGTAGTGTGTCACAGTTTTCATCCATCGTGGTCAGACGCGAGGCTCCGCCGGTTTTTGTCAATGGGCATGAAAATGGTTTGAAGCGGAAGCTCCATCGGAACTTCTTACACACGGGCCCTTCCATTTCACTTTGCTCTAATGTGTTTTTTGTCTGACCTGCTCTTCTGTTAAAAGGTATTTTAATTAAGACCTGCGATGCTTTTGTATTTTCTTTTCTTTTTTTTTCTTTAAAAAATTAACCAGGGAGCTTGTTGATTCTCCTGTACAGAAGTATCAGAGTGAGCGTTGGATAAAAGTTGGGTTGCTTGGACCGATACTCCAAAGACCAAACTTAGGCTTTATATTTGATGTACTTTGATCACTCGTAAAGGAAATTGCAAGGTCGAAACAGTCACATTTTAAGGGAGTTTGTATTTCATTGATGTTATTTGCTTTGTTTTTGACTAATTGAGAAAGGTTGTGGGTATCCATGGTACAGACTTTATTCGCTCATTATGATAAATTCCTAATGGGGTTGGGGTGGGCGCTGTTAACTTATCCTTTGAGATGGTAAGGGTCTGGCTGTGTAAGATAGTCTTTTGATGTAGAATACTTTGTTTTCTGATGAAACGGCCAGTGGCCAGTCCTTGTGTTACGCTTACAGGTAGCTCCGCTTGTGGGTTTTACAATTTGGAGAATTTAAGTAGTGGGTTGGTCCGACTGACTGGGAAGGTCCCTCCTCAACGCTGTTTAGGGGTCTGCTGTCGCATCGGTATTGGTCTCGTAAATATAGGGCGATGGGACAACTGATTCTACGTATGTTTTTGAAGAGATGCTTTCCAGGTGAGCAGGGAGTTCCAACAAAAGTTTTTAAAAAAACCAACGCATTTAGAAGACACTTTTCACTGCGGATGTGGATTGCCAAGCTGTTCCCTTACGTGCACAGGGCCAGAGTTTCAGGCAATTTGTTGAGAAGCCTGACTGCTGTTCTGCAAACAGTGGCATCCTTAGTGGTCACAAGTGTCTTCGATATTTTACAGTTCAGGCTAGGATGCATGACGTTTGTTGTATTTGCTGTGCGGGCAGGGAGAACAGGGTTCTGCACCCACAGGGCCCCGTTCTTTCTACGCAGACAACAGTTTCATTTGGTTGATGGACGGACTTAGATTTTTCAATTCGGTCAGGATGTTAAAGTAAGTAGTCATTGTGCTGAACACTGGCAACGGTGTTAAATTATTCAGTGAGTTGTGTCATGAAACCCTGTTTTTAAAGTTTGTTTTTTTTCTTCCCATAAGGCTACGTTTTCAAAGATGCTAACAGATTGATATCGTCATCTCTGAACAAGTTGTGTGTTTTAGATCATGCATTTTAAAGCTTAAATTACCCTTTGAATACGACTTTTCCCCAATTTCATATTCAACATAAATGCTTACTAATATTCACTACTGTCCACTCTGGCATGAATAAATATAAAATTTAATTTGAAGACCCATATTTCATAATGTCTCCAGTCAGTAACAAGTCATGAGGCCAAACAGTTTGGTCTATTGAAATGCTAAATCTGGGAGTGATTACTCTGCACAAGCCAAAAGTTAACGACCCTGGTTTCTAGCTTTCCAGTCACGCAAAATAAGAGCACAGTCATCAAGACAGCCTTCCAATTGAACAACGGAGTTTGTTTGACCGAGATCTTTTGAGCAAAATAACATGAGCTCAGCCGTGTAATGTACAAAGAACGGGGCCCACATCTTGTCACGTCATGTTATTTGTTCTCTACTGATTTGTACATTATTTGTGGTCTTTTACTACTGTATACAATAAATATAGTTTGGTACTCAGATATGCTGTTGTGAGAATCATTATTTTGTGTTTGTATGTTTCATAATGGGTCAAGAATTGAAATGTCTCTCATAATACTTTAGATCCACATGCAGAAGGTTTATTGATAACTTTAATTGCCCGTGTTGGTCTGTCAGAGATTTCCGTCTCCTGTTTTATATTATTATTAAGTGTTTAGATTTTTGAAAAGAATATAAGAATAAAGGAAGTGCTCATGTTATTATGAGCAAGCAAAAATCTCAAAGGTGAATATTTTTATATTTGAATACACCATGACTGACCATTCAGTATAGTAATGTTTAATAATTTTTTGCAGACTTCAGAGAGCCCTTTTTCCCCGCGTAGTGGTACGTTTGGCAAGACGAGGTCTCAATTTCCCCCCGAGGTCTTGTCTGTTAAACATGTGCGCCCAAGTAGTACAGAAGGAAACGCCACGTGTCCTAAAGAAAATGGGCCGCTAGGTGGTGCCAGTTAACTCATAGCCTGGCGTGTCTGTTGTTGTTAATGTACAAAACAATACACTTTTTTTAAGATAATCTGAAGTACATGAATTTCAACCAAATGCCGGATCAAAACCAAATTAAGATTTACTTATTTACAAAGGGCCTTGAAATGTATACATATACTTCAGACCTTACCTTGAGAGACAAAAAATCACAAAATTGAAAGAAGCTGGCTAAAAAAAGATGATGGTATATTAAGTCTGAAAATTATTTCAGATCACCTCCAGGAAATCTTGATTTAGAACCTTGAATCTCATCTGACACACTAATTGAATGGCTTCATTCAGCACAACTGGTACCGTGATAAGACTTACTGCAGCAGTTAGAGAGTCAAACCAGGAATAAAGAAGAGCATCTACATTCACTTTATCTGCATTTCAGCAGGTTGTTCTGAACGGAAAGTGCCTGGAAGGCAGAGCGATTAATAAATGGTTAGAGGAAGAAGAGCTGGGTTGATATCTTGCATCCTGATCTGTGTGCAGTCTGCTTTTAATGTGGGCAAGAGGAAGAGAGACTAAGATCATTTGCCTTGTAAATGTTCAAGTCAACAAACCTCAGACTGACTTCAAATTGTGTACCATTGACAATAAAAACGTATAATAATAGTCACCTGTGATTTCGCCATAGTGCAAAGTCGACCCTCTCACTACTTTGCTATTTCGCCGTTTCATAATATCACTGCCCTAGAACTGGATTATTCCTTCAACTGGTGATATTTACAGGTTGGGTTCATGCACATGACATAACAACTAATAGGATTAATAGGATAACTTAAATCCATTAGTGGACCAAAGGTCACATACGTACGTTGTTGTTTTTAAGTTACCTTTTTAATTCATTGTTTTGTTCGCTTAGGCCACTCTCATGACATAAATATATGGAGAAATATGGCTTTTGACAGAATTTGTCAGCTGTAAGTGCACATGCGAAGACACACGAATGCAGCTCACCCCTCTGGCAGGTCTGTGTCATCAGAGGCGTTGAGGGAGGATGAGTGACGGGCTGGTTAGTGATTTGCATTCTCTGGTGTTTAAAAGGACCTGCACGGTGTCGGATTCTCCACACAGATGGATGGATTCCTTCTCGAAGCACTGAGGCATCACAGCTCTGGGTCTTTTCTTCTTCTATTTGTGAATCTTAACAAACCAGAATAGCCTTTGATTACTCTAAAGAGAGTTTATTCAGTGGGCATTTTTCTCACCGGAGATAGAGACAAAAGCAGCAACGTAAAGGGAAACATGGAGACATTTGTACAGGCAATAGCAACTGAACCGAACAGGCTTGCTATGATGACATGGCTCATATTTGCGCACCTCCTCCTCCTGGGGTTAAGGGCCACCGACACCACCTCAGACACATGGAGACGCTGCACAGGTATTGTACCATTTGAATATATTTCACCTGTTTTAACCACAGCTCACTTCAACAGATCTGATGTTCAGTTAATGATTATTCTGTGGATGGTGTACGGCTTCATCTGAAAATCTGGGAAACCCCTCCAGCTAAAATTCTTTTGGATAATTCCAACTGTCTGTGTCTGCTTACAGTGCAGTGGGAGTGTTTCTGTGTGCAGCATGCCGTGCGATATTGACTTAAATTAACCTCCACAAACAAGTACAGACACTGGATGTGGGTGGGATTCCACAGTAGACATCTCGACAGGGTGCATGTTTATAAGATGTCTCATCCATTTCTGAGCCATTCTCTTCCATATTACTGCTGTTCATAGAGCCTGGTCCTAAAAAAACCTTGCTAAAATCTCCTTAGGCTCAAACGCCACCCAGGGACGCTTCAGGGACCTTGGCATGTCATTAATTGATTTATTGCAGTTATTCTGAAACCCTTAAAAACATTCTACTATTCAAATGGTATTTGCAGCCGCAGCGTTTGTGTGTACGGTCTGTTCTCGTTCCCGTGATATCCCATCAACACCTGGAAGGACTTCCTTCACATGCGGCACAAGCGTCGACTTGGACTACAGGATAAGTTATTTGTTTACAGTAGGCAAAGGTCAAGGTCACCGTGACCTCTTATCATTCCCGTTCTCGTGATGTCTAAGAAAGATTTTGACACAAACTTCCAAACTCAAGAGTGAACTGAGTAAATTTTAGGGGTCAACGGTCAGGGTTATTGGGACTACAAATACTTCACAATTATAGTGAATATAATATCTCAGAAAGGCCTTGAAGATTTTATTCAAATTTGTCACAAAAGTCAACATCGGTAGTTGGCGGAGCTGTAAATAATTGTTTTCACTATGTAATAATCTGAAAACAATGTTAATGATATCTTTAATTCCTTATTGTCTCCAGATTTGGTCCCTCTGGATCTTTTGTCTTTTGTGCTGGAGAGGGACCCCTCCCAACTCACAGCAGGGGGGCACATGAAGCAGGAGGAAGGGGTGAGAGGTGTGCACCTCTCAAGCCCTCATGCCTCTATGAGCTTTCCCTCTTCCCAGCTGCTGGTGGACTGCGACCTTTTCCCCAAAGAATTCTCCATTGTTGTGACATTAAAAGTTACTGGCTTTTCTCCTAAGGTGAGCATCCAAGTTTCCTAATTATCAATGGTGGATGAAGTACACAGATTCTCTATTTGCATCTTTAATGCCATCGCAGATTGAGAAGACTAAAGTCAAAATAGAACTAAATGTTCTTCAAACAAATATATTGAAAGAAGGATATGTTGGGTGAAGTTTTATTTATCTAACAATGCACCCTGCAGAATACAGTGGGCCACATGTTTTCTTCACTTTCATTTCTTTTTCAGAGAAATGAATACATCTTTTCCTTGATGGGGCCAAAGCGCGTTAAGACAAAAAGAGTGGGGACAAAAGAAGAAAAGAACAATAAAGAGGACGTTTTGGAAAGGAATGCCGAGAGTTCTAACAGTGGAGGAGAACAACGCGGCGAGACGGAGAAGAAGCGGCGAGTCAAGAGTGAGGAAGAACGGGAGCAAATCCTCCTGGGACTCAGGTTCTCGAAAAGACGTTTGCACTTCCTTTTTAGAGGTCACGAAGGGGTTGTGGAGCGCTGGAGGTTTCGAGGCGCTGGACTGGCTGACAACCACTGGCACACGCTGGTTTTGGGTGTTGGCAGTCAACGTGTCCGGCTCACAGTGGACTGCGGCAAAGCCCAGGAAATGTAAGTTCACCCTTTTTTTTTGCGTCTGACAGTCACTGGGTGGGTGCGATGTCTCTCTGCCTTCTTCCAGCTGCCTTTGAATACCCTCGAGGGATTGTAGATCATTCACCACAATACAGTGGCACATCTGCAGTCTGCTCACAGCCTGCAGCTGTATCACAGAGGCCTGACAGTATGTGATGGATGGTATTTAGTGGAAACGGCCTCTGGCGTGCAGTATCAACTATCGTACGATGCAAATATAATACGATTCTTCTCTCAGTCCTAAGAAGAGAGAAGCCTACTTTAACTCCAGTGTCTTTAAGTTACATTAAAGATGAAAAGCAACTAACTATACCTATTAAAAATAATTAAGTTTTATGGCCAACAGTATCCCTTCCAGGCCTTTCCCCTCAGACCTCAACATTAGGGGATCGAAATTCAACGTTGGCAGTCGGGGGAGATGGAAAGAATTGTATTCAGTAAGCATTATTTCTAACAAGCTTCCAGACCACACGATTTGTGTTTTTTCTAAAACAGTCACCTTGTTTGATTCTTATCCTGATTTCTCCATGCACAGGGTCTGTTGCGCCAGCTGGTTTTGGTGCCAGGTGTGGATGCCACCCATCAAATCTGCCCGTCTTCGAACCCCCAGCTAGCAGTTCTCTCAGTTCCACCACTTCTGTTACACCCGCCTGCCACCGGTAGGGAGGGTCACGACCGCGTGACTTCCTACGGTAACTTGTGAACATGTTTCACCGTACATTTCACGCAGCACGATGAAAGCCATGACCTTGACATGTCCTTACCTTTGTGTTTTGATCGTAAACTCTCAGAACTGAATGAGCGCGTCTCATTGGGCTTGGAGCGCTCATGCTCCGAGCAGCTGCAAGGCCAAATGTGGTTCAATCCACTCAGGAGAGGCCTCTACCTCTGCGACGGTGCAGAGTGGGTCACCGTGCTGGAGGGTGAGAGTCCAAGATCCAAAACGTCCGCTCACAAGCAAGTTTTTCTTTTTCACTGTGAAATTGACAAAAGTTTTTATCTCCTTATCTACTCAGATCATAAACGACTTGACTATGTGTTGGAACACCAGGTCCTGACCACCAGCTCAGAGACACACGATGTAGAGGTATCCTTCTTCTTCTTCTTGTATCTTTGTACAATATTTACATGTATTGTATCTATACTCGCTGTACCTGCTCGTTTACAGCTCTGCAAGACTGAGTTTATTCAGCGTGGAATTTTTTTGTTTTTTTCTTGTGAAGCACAAGATACACTGAATTTAATCTATTCAATCTTAGTTGGTGTTGGTTGACACCTTTTTTTCTGTTGCATTACTACTTTTTTCATTTCTGCATAACATGTGATCTGCCTTGATTTTTTACCATTCTGTGATTTACGTATTCTATATTCTATACATGAGGGCGTCAAGGTCAAGTTGTGTATTTATTCACTGTTTTTTGTTGAATCTTTAGGTTTTCCATATAGCCGGGATGGGTCTGATGGCTGCGATGGCTCATAGATCCGCTTCTGGATCAGCTGTGTATCTGTGGAGCAAAACAGGTTTTCGTCTTTACCAGAATATCAGCACATATGGAGCTTTGGCTTGGAGACACTTCAGCATGGGCAAGAAGGTATGAGAAAGGAAGACATACATTATGTAACATTAATCCAACTGATATTCTCTGTGTTTTGTTACCTTGATCTAGATATTTCTGGTTGTGTCTAACTCTGTCGGAGGACCAGACAAGCGTAAAAGATCAGAGACGGACACTTCTGTGATTTACAAGTGGAGCAAAAGAAGAAAGCGCTTTGTGCGGTTCCAGACTCTGCAGACCCACTGCGCTCGGGACTGGGAGGCCTTTAACATCGACCAACAAACTTATCTGGCTGTGGCCAACCACAGACAGGGTAAAAACTTTGCACGACATTCCCAAAATAACAAACTACAGTGTTTCATCCTCTTTCTTCCTCGTTTGTCTTTCAGGCGACAACAATCACACCATAGACAGTGTGATATACAAATGGAACAAGCCAACAAAGTCCTTTGAGGTTCACCAGATGCTGCCGACGTCGGGGGCCTACGACTGGGAGTTCTTCACAGTGGGACCGTACCACTTCCTAGTGGTGGCCAATGCCTTTGATGGAGTGACCACCTCTGTGGATTCGGTCATTTATGTTTGGGTCAGTGGAAGCTTCCAGGTGTTTCAGGCAATTAAGGTATGTAGCAAACTGAAAAACGCAAATTAATTTTCCCTTTAAAATGCATGAAAAAAAACAAACAGCTGTAGCCTACCACAACACAGGGTAAATCCAGGAAGCACTTGCGTCATGACTGCGTCACGACCTCCATACCATTCATGTTCTCCTTCAGCTGGGCTTTGATTTGTTCTGGTGAGATCTGTGTCTTTGAGATGAGTATGAACAGCCGTGTCAGAATGCAACAAAGGGGAGGGAACAAACGGAGAGATAAAAGTGTAATGAAAAGAGAAAGAGAGAGCAAAGAACGGGTGTGTCCATTTGGCCACAGCGCCTAAAATAGATGTTTGCGGCTTGCCATAATTTGCGTGAGTGAGTGCAGTGCTTTGACATGTCAGTGAATCACAGAGCCACAATTTGAGGAGAGTGCATTGACACATTGATAGTATCACAAGATATTATAAAGACAGGATTTAGGGGAAATCCGCAGCGGGATAGGAGGTACCTTGGGGCTGGTAAAAATGAATCTTGGTAAAGCATCCAGATTTGAGTGAAATGACACTTATTTGTCATTAGTTTTCACTGCGTTACAGCGTTTTTCGCTTTGCTGTCTCCATCCTAGCAAGCAAAAGTCAAAGAAGTACAAAGAACTGTTTCCCCGAGTAAAAACCCCGCATGCTTTCTCTCTCATTGTCAATCTAGACGTTCTGCGCCACGGACTGGGAAATGTTTCAAATTGGAAATAGAGTTTTTTTAGTCGTTGCCAATGGACACAGGCTAAATGGCAATGGACCAAGTCAATATGCCATCAACTCCACCATCTACGAACTGGACATGAATGGGCAGGTGTTCGTCCGCTTCCAGGACATTGTCACCTACAGGTACAGCTATGCAAACACTAGATATATCAGGTGTGTACAGGCAGAACCTGTAAATGCTGTAATCTCAACATCTCGTCTTTACCCTACACACGTCCATCCCTCCAGTGCAGTGGACTGGGAGTTCTTCAGTCTCGGGGAGGAATATTTTATGATCGTCGCAAACTCCTTCAACGGAGAATCCTACTCTCTCAACAGCATTCTTTACAGGTACTCAACTTGCCAGCATCACTGCAAACAGTGTGAAATAACGAATCTATTCTGAATGCACGCTCATTTAGTGCGGTTGTAAAGTAGATCTATTTTCTGTTCTATCCTATGTGAGCCAGAGCAGTGAAAGCCGAGCACTTTTGAAATGTGAGGTAGCGCCTGGATCTAATTCTGTGTCGAGAGCCTTTGTTAAACAGATGAAAATATAACTTTTATTTGATTCTTCCTCTCTGTTTTAGGTGGCAGGGATATGAAGGATTTGTTCCTGTTCATTGGCTCCCAACGATCGGGTGCAGTGACTGGGAGTTTTTCAGCTCTGAAGGAGAATCATATCTGATCTACTCTAGTGCCAAAGCCCCTCTCTCCAAAGTGTTTAAGCTGAAAACACACTAGCCAAAAAAAGTGTGTGCGTGTAGCTTTGCTCACTCTTTTTATGTGTGTGTGTGTTCTTGTGTAAGACAATATTAACAATATTTTGTTTACCTCATTTTTACGCAAATGTTACGAGTTCAAGACTTTTACGGGAATATATATCTATATATATATATATCTATTTGTGTAAAATATATAGTTAGTTTTCTAATTTTCTTTAATCACATTTAATATTGACGATTTTTTATATTGACTTGTATGTTGTCAGAACAATTACTGATTATTACTTTATGTATGAATAATATTTAAAATAATTATCCTGAAATGGCAATAAACCAGATTGTATATGTTTGTATAGAAAGTAGGAGTTGTTTATGCATCGGCTAACCTTCAGCCATGGAGCAAGTAGCGAGGCAAACAGAATCCTGGTGAGGTGTTTGATTGGTATGCAGGCGCTTTGGGCAGTAACTGACATCCTTTGTAAACACGAACAACTATTAATATTTTTTTTCCTACAGTTGGCTACAGAAGACTAAAAGCCCCATAACTTCATGACTCAACTTGTCGGATATTTTTATTTTTTATTGCTGCAATTATTGTTGGAATAATAATAATGAGATGAATATATAAACGTGTAAGGGCTATATCAGAAGGCGGCGGTAAAGTACAGAATTGTAAATAAACATTGCTAATGATGTTCAAGTAATGCAACTAACATTATTTATTATTTTCAGTGCATGCGTGTAATACTACAAGTACCACAATGCACCGCTTTGCTGTTCCGCAGAAAGAAACATGGCTGCCTACAGTTCACCTACGGTATTTGTATGTATGCCTTGTTTGTTATCTGCTTTACGACAGACAGAGGAGGAAGTGTCACACGCTAACGTCACATTGAGAAACAAAACAGTTTAATAAGTCGCGAAGGTTTTTGGTGGATGAAGCCTTAACGTCACCAAAAGCCTGTTCTGTCCTTTCTTTAATTTTCGCTGAGCCGTCAAGCGCTGCTCACTGTCGGACGACCTGCGAGCGATTTGCCTTTTTTGCTATTGCGTTGAGCTAACTAGCGCAGAACTCGGTAATAGTCGCTATGTTCAGCCCCGTGAAGTCTTCTTATTTCAGAGTCAGCCCGGCCATTGTCAACAGAGAACTCGGCAAGACCAAGATGAGATAGCAAGAGGGCAAATCGGAGTGACGACACGTGATTTACTACAAGGCAAGAGCCCGAGCGACGGTCCGCGAGGACACCCGATACATCACTCACACGGCATGTTTGGGAACCTTTTCGAGGAAGAGGAGGAGGAGGAGGAGGAAGGCGTCTCCCCGGCTTCCTCCAGCGGGAGAGTTGCCAAGGGGGGAGACGAGCCGCCTCCGCCCCGAGGAAGAAGCAATCTGTGCGGCTTAAAGAACCAAGGGGGGACCTGCTACCTCAACTCCCTGCTGCAGACCCTGCTGTTTACCCCGGAGTTCAGAGGTAAGGCGTGCAGCACCCAGCACACAACCCGAGGACCGACGTACATTGTGTGTGTGTGTGTGTGTGTGTGTGTGTGTGTGTGTGTGTGTGTGTGTGTGTGTGTGTGTGTGTCCAGAGGCGCTGTTCAGTCTGGGAGCTGCAGAATTGGGATGTCTGGAACACAAAGAAAATCCAGGGGCCAAAGTAAGTTGCAGAGCACTTGTAGCTTGAACAGACTATGTAATGTTTGTGTATTCGTGTAATGCAGTTTTAATTGCCACCCCCTCCCTCCCCAGGTCAGAGTGATCCCACTGGAGTTGCAGAAGCTGTTTGCCAGTCTTCTGTTGGTGGACCAACAGAGCGCCTCCACCGCCAACCTCACCAGCAGTTTTGGCTGGAACAGCAGCGAGGTCTGAGTCCAACGCGCTGCTCGGGTTAAACTTCTCATATCACCGATTGATTTTCTGACTGAAATACTGACCCACAACATTTCCCAAATGACATGCATAACCACTTTTTCCTGGTCATGGTCGTTCATGCAGTCGTGTGACTTTAAACGGGATGTAGAGCTGATGGAAAGCCGATAACAGCTGGTAGAAAAAAGTAGAGAAGGTTGTTTGATTTTCATCCTTGCAAGTCTCGCATAAGTCTGTGTTTCTCGTAAAGAGTGAAATTGATTTCTTAAATTGTAATACAAAAACAATTTCTCAGAGTAATAGGGGATACAACTGACGTTTTAAAAAGGACTCAGGCCATTTAACAGTCAATGGTCATTGATGATTATTAAAGACATCTAGGTTACAGCTGAAGGACCCAAAACAGTGAAATTTGCATCATCCTTAAAATCTATGTATTAGTCACTGCAGGCGCTTGGTAGATTTCATGCATTCTAAGCACTTAAGAGGTTGTTTATTAGATAAATTACAGCCATATTCTACAAAGGAACATATTAGTTTATGAAGCAATCCCTTTCTGGATACTGTTAGTTCACATGACGAAACTGGGACACCATCAAATGTCTTTATGATCCTAACTTTCTTCTTTGTTCATTCCTTTTCAGGGAACAAATCAGCATGACGTGCAGGAGCTGAACAGGATTCTGTTCAGTGCATTGGACCACTCCCTTGTGGGCACCACTGGTAGTACTTTTATCCACCAGCTGTATCATGGGACCATTGTCAACAGCATTGTCTGCAAGGATTGTGGCAACGTCAGCCAGAGACAGGTGTGTCTGGTTTCTCTGCCTCATTGGCTCCATTCATGAAGTTGTATTCTTTCCATTACATACTGTTGAAAAATGTTTATTTTTTTGTCTCTAGCTCAGTGAGATTTAGCAAACGCTGAGAAAAAGATAACAAACTAACCAACCAGGTCTGTGTTTTGGGCCGTCTTCAGGAGGACTTCCTGGACCTGACCGTGTGTGTCTGTGGCGTGTCCAGCCTGGAGGAGGCTTTGTGGAACATGTTTGTGGAGGAGGAGTTGTTTCAGGGCAATAACCTGTACCGCTGTGCACACTGTGACAGGCTGGTCACCGCTGCCAAGGTCAGTGGCAGCCTTCAGACTCTAAGGTTAAACTGCAGCCAACCCTTTTCTCTTTTTAAAACTAATTTTGCTTTCATTCAGTCTGCCAAGCTGAAGAAGCTTCCTCCATTCATGACCATGTCCTTGCTGAGATTCAGCTTTGACTTTGCCAAGTGTGAGCGATACAAGGAGACGGGACGCTACAGTTTTCCCTTATCCATCAACCTAAAGCCATTTTGTGAAGAGGTACCTGACAGGTTTTTTGTTTGACCTAGATTATTATTTTTTTGATCAGGCACATTTATCATGACTAACTCTCTATATTTCTTATTTATTGCTGGTTGTATGGCTCACTGTTAACATCATCCAGGGAGGCTTTGATACACTATACCTGCTTCCTCCCCCACAGACTGATGCAGAGGACTCCGATTACTCCTACGAGCTGTTCTCTGTGATCATCCATAAGGGAGGCTGCTATGGGGGCCATTACCATGTTTATATCAGGGACATTGACCAGCTCGGCAAATGGGAGCCACCGGTGAGAAAAGCAGAGGAGCAAATTGAAGGATAAAAAAGAAACCTAAATTACACTTTTAAAAATAAATTGAACATAAGCGTTGTTTAGTTTTACTTCTATTTAGAATGAGATGTGACTAGTGGTCAATGCCTCGTTGCCAATTCACAATATAAGTAGTGTTTCAATTGGATAGCTGCAATTACTGGGCATTATAAAAAGGTATCATCTGTTTTTTTGTGTCAGGAGGAAGAGCAGAAACCCAAAACACAGAAAAAATCCAAAAACGAAGTTGAGCAAATGTGTGCGCCAATACTACAAGAAGATGACCCTTTGTCTGTCATCACTGCTATCATTGCTCAGGTATAGCAACCGCTTCCTTTGTCTGGACTCTGTGTTCATAGTTATTTATCTGTTGACTCGGTAGTCAGTCAACTAATGAGGTGTTGGGTCATATGTTGTCCACCAGGAGCCATCAAAGAGTGTCCTGACGGACCAGCTGGGACAGAAACTCATGGAAAAGATTGGTTCTTCCTGGAGCAAAAAGTTCAGAAAACACTATGGCCCCATAGGAAAGGTATTTTATGTGTCTTTGTTTTCATGATGCTCAAATATTCAGATGTTGTCTATGCATCCTCCTGGTGTTGGGTTGATATCAATATATCAATGGTCTCATACCGGTTTCCGGTGCTTTTCTTGACTCTTTGCTCTTGTGATGTAGTTCCTGCAGTCGAACAACAATGTTTTCATGTTGGTGTCTAATGGAACTCGAGTGGCACTGAAGGCGAACCCGCCAAGCCCCACAACTGAGCCGCCCGGCGCAGCAAAGCAGGCGACTAACCCCGATCCATTAACGCCATCAGACCCCAGAGCTGCTGAGCAACATCTGGATCTGCAGCAGAAGTCAGAGCCGGAACAAACGGTATTAGAGCCGAAGTCACATTGTTCAAGAATGTAGGTTCTAAAAGGACATTGAAGCCTTTCAAATGATACAATACGCACACGTTTGTCTCTTTTCCAGTTGGCCACTTCTTGTGATTGCTTCCTCACGTTGTTTCTTCCTGTCTGTCTGCAGGGTAGCCACTGGTTTGACCTGAACGATTCCATGGTGACCTCCATCAGGGAGTCGGACATCGAGAAGCAGTTCCAGGGCAAAGAAAGCGCATACATGCTGTTCTACAGAAAGACACAGCTGCACAGACCCAGTGAAGGTAACGGACACCAGCTTTTGTGTTGTAAAATAAGATCAAAGTTGATACAGGTGTCTTGAAATAGAAACTCATGTGGTTTGCCACCACATATACACAGTATATGAAGTAATATGACTAACTTGTATCCCATGTGTTTCTACATCTTCAGCTCTGCACAATCCCCAATATAAAATTCCTCTTAACCTCATCCAGATGGCTCAGGAGGAGAACATCCAAATGCAGAAAATGCGGTACGTACAAACATTTCACACAACTATCGCGTAGATGGGTTTTTGATTTACGAGTGTGACATTTCAGTGGCAGCTAAAATGACTCAAATCTTGAAATTGGAGGTCACGCTGAAACCATTTTCTCACAAATTCTTACTCCCCGTTGCTTCTCTTATAAGTGAGGAGTTTGAAGCCACGAATAACACCGTGGAGCTGCGCCTCCACCTGGCACCCTCCTACAGGCTCGAGGGTGGAGCCCTGCAGCCACTCAGCAAAGGGGTGGCTGCGAGCAACGCTCTGAGTTTTGACCGGAGAAAGACTGTGGGAGATCTTCGATTAGCTATTTATCAGGTAACTCGATTTTCCAAAAAGACTTGCCTGTTGCGTTCCAAAAACGGGGTAAAAAGCCGCTCGGAATAAGCTGTGTCTTTTGCATCTGTGTACACAGAAGCAGGAACTCTGGGAAGGTGATATGGCTCTGACTTTGGCCAAGAGTCTTCCAGCGGGTCTCCACCTCTACAACACCTTAACAGGTGAGACACTAAAATGCCCCCAAAAACCCTCCAAAAGTTCTAAACGTTTGTAACGACATTCTGGTTGCGGTTGTCTTTGCAGACGACAATGTCTCCCTGTACAGTGCAGGCGTTTGTACAAACTCTGACCTGTTTGTGTGGAACGGCAGAGAGGTGAGTACAACACATTCTCGGTCCTCACCATCCTCGTTCCAGTAAATGTCAGCAGGCTCACTTGACGAGACCCCGAGTGTCCGACTCGTGTCCTGGATTCTGTCCCTTCAGGTGTGCGGTGCGACTGTGCTAGTTGGAGCCGAGTGGGAGCCGGTGCTGCTGAACGTAGTCCGCCCCAGTTTGGGGGACGAAGGGGGTCAGGAGGAGGGGGACGGGTTGCAGTGTGAGGAGGGAAAGGGAGGTTTTGAAAATGGGGGGCCGGGGCTCAAAAGGGAGGCCAGAGGGTTTGCAGGTGCTGCGACTCTCGGGGAGGTTCGGGAGGCCCTGGGGGAGCCCGAGGAGAGTCTGCTGTGCCAGGAGCACAAGGGAGGGCCGACAGGAGAGCAGGGGCCCGGGGAGGGAGGGGGGGCGAGCGGATGGAGGGTGTTCCCCCCCGATGATATGCAGCGGACGCTCAAGGAGCTTTCGCTGAAAGACGGAGACGCGCTGCTGGTGCTGGAGCCCCAGTCCTTCGACAGCAGGTACAATCCTCTGCCGTGTGTGTGTGTGTGTGTTGTTTTCTCAATCTGCTCTGCTAATGTCCTCTTAACTTTGCTCAGCATGTTCGCTCGAAACGGAGACGTTGTCACTGTGACTACACCGTCGGACTGCCGCTGGCTCCAGGTGGAGTTTGGACCACATGGGGAGGGAGGAGGCGATGGAGAGACAGAAGAGCAGAGAAAGATCAAAGTTCCAGCTTCAGGAAATATGGTAATCTTTATTTATTTTTTTAAGTAACCTATCTGGTTGGGCTTGTTTTCTTTTCATTAAAGCGCCGCTTTGTTCTTTCTTAGTCATTCATGTTCAGTGCATTTCTCTCACAGCTGCTGTGTGAGGTGAAACAAAGGGCCATAGAGGAGCTGCAGCTACAGGAGCAAATATCAGGCAAGATGCTCAGTGTTGCATAACTCCTTCTGCCAGAGATTTCCTAGTTATTCACACCTGACTGCGTTAATTCTTGTTTCTATAGTGCAGCCAAATGCGTGCATACGTAATGTAAATTTACCTGACAATTTACAAGTTAATTTAAATTACATGTCCTTTTTAGTCTCGATTGCATTTTCTGATGATTAAGTAAACAGGATATTATCATTTAAAAAAGTTGCTTGGGACTTTGTTTGTTCAAGTAACATTTGTAGTTCTTTACTATCCTGCATCATTGTTTGAATTTGGATTCTTACATTTTTATCCCGGCATACATTCATACTGTTGTTTTTGTTTTCCGACCAGGTGCACAGTACTGTCTGAGACATGTGGACTGCACAGGGAAACTCCTTCCTCCAGGTACCATGTCATTTGTTGCCTGGGGGCAAATATAATTTTAATGGCGCAGCTATCTGAGAGCTGGAAATTCCCCTCATTTTCACGACCTATTAAGATAGACTTTCCTTTACACTGCCCCTCATAAAATGTTTAAAAGGTACTCCCCCTGCGTGTCATTATTCTTTCATCTGTGTTTTGAAGTTTGAGAGCACATTTACTGAGTGCACTTGTGTTGTCCCACCCTGGTTCACCCGACAGTGTGCGAGGAGTTGAGTGTTCGGGCTGCAGGGGTGCGACTCATGACCACACTGACTCTCTGTCCCGGAAATGCCCCCAAGGCATCGCAGGTGTGTCTTTTTTTTTTTTTTAATTTGAAACCTTCAATAAATCCTCTAACTGCACGGGTGAGTGTTACAGCTCCTTTTAAGTCCCAGTAGACGTATCCTTTTCTACAGTGTAAAACAAAACTGGGATATGAGTTACGAGTGTTTTTTAAAGTTCGTAGTTGCTGTTTTTGATGAAGGATTTCCTCTTTGCATTGTGCAGCTTTTCTTGCACTTCTCTGTGGGCGCAGCGCCCTCTGCTGGCATGGAGATGGATATAATAGTGGAGAAAACGAGTACCGTCAAAGAGGTACGTAAACATAGTTTGTGAAACATGTGCTCAGGTTACAGGTATGTGTACTTACTCAAAATGTGATCTTTTTTTCATTTTGCAGTGTCTAAAGACAATGCTGGATGTGGTTGGACTTGAAGGTAAAACTACATCAATACATTGTGTAGTTTTTCTCTTAAGCTGTAAAACTAATCAAATTTCTATCTTGCAGCAATATGTGGCTGTTAATATCATTGTAATGTGTGTTTGCAGGCACCTGTTGGCACTTAAGGAGGCTCGATTGGTGTGAGGAGGTTGGCGAGCCAATAATGGACGAGGTGAGTGGTTTACAGAGATTTTAGTTTAAACAATATATCATACCTGAATCCAAAATGGTTTGTAGGCATTGGATAGATTCCTTCTACCCTGCTCATCGTCTGTATATCTTCACTTTTGTTGATGATATTCAGCGCCCGGCAAAATGAATAACTAACAACAACAGAAACTGTGAATGGAACTTTGTATTGAATCAAAAGCAGCTGTCTACTAGTCGGCAAAACCCCAACGTGACACCAAAGCAATGAAATATAGTTTTTAATAATATATGGATTGTGTCCCATTTCAAAAAGTCCAACCTGTTTCTCTCAGGACGCTTCTCTGTCGGAGCTGAAGATAAACAATGGAGAAACATTAGTGGTCACACAAGGGCAACTTCCTCCGAAGGTATAACGTCGTTATAACGTTTTTATTTTGTCTGGAAATTCATAGAATATAAATGTGCTTCTCTCTTTAGCCTTTATTGTTTTCTCTTCTGTCAGGGGTTCCTCAAGCTGTCTGTGTGGCTGTGTCTGGATCGCCGAAACGATTCCGAGGTTTCTATGGATTTTAATCACACGGATGACGGCCACACGCAGGTCGAGGCTGCCGATGAGTCGCCTCCTCTCGGTGTCGGCAACATGGCGGAACCAAGACGTGCAGGACCGGTGGAGATCTCTGACGAGGCCACTCTGGAGGACCTCAAGGCCCAGGTAGCGTATTAAAAGCAGGAGTCGATGGCGGTTTTATATTGGTACGGTTATCCTCAAAGACCCCAAATTAAGTCTCTGGGATTCTAGTGGCTCATTTTAGCCTATGCGAGCTGCTTTTGTCCAATCCTAGCAGTGCATCTTCTTCCTGAAGGCTTGTGATGGTCCATCCATGATTCTTTCTAACCGAATGCAAATGAGTCCCCCAATGTCCTTGTCTGTTTCTTTGTCAGGTGTTGACCCTGCCTGCCCTGCAGGATGTGTGCGTGCCAACCACTGCGTTCCTGCGTGTCTGGCAGCTTGAGGGGCGGCGGCTGGCTCGTATCCTCAGAGGAGGACAGCTCACGCTCAAGTAGAGACGCTCTCCTGTTACGGCCTGGTCAAAAGATTAAACAAAGTTATTGCTGTTTCATATGATTGACATATTCGCTTGTGTTTCCCTCCTGATCAGGAAGTTGAAGCTGAGCAGTGGGACAGACCTTTGTGTGCAACAGCTACTGAAGGAAGAAGACCTCGGGTAAAGTTCAGGCTGCCTCCTCCTTTTCCAATTCACTCACATGCTACATATTTTGAGGGTAGTTGAATTAATTATGTCCTGTTCCTAAGTCCTAAAGATGTGATGCTGAATGTTAAAATGGGAGTCCCCGGAGAGAGGTGTTTCTACCCGCCAGAAGAGCTGGTTTGGGATGCAGCCCGTGACTCCTCTCCCCGCTCCCTGCGCACTCGTCTGGCTGCGCACTTCTGCCTCTCGCCGGACTCGCTGCTGTTGGCCAAACACCAGCCGGACAAACACGCCTGGGAGGAAATCTCAAACTGGGTGAGATGAAAAGAGTCATTTGTCTCTTCTTTTATATGTTTGGTGCAATCATTATGTACTCTAGCAGTCTATTGGTCAATGGAAAAAGTATGAGGAGAAATATTTATATAGTAATATAGTAAAGAGTCACGATTGGAGAGTCAAGCTATCTTAAGCGTTTTTTTATTCATAAGCAAACAAAGTATTCCAGTATTCTCATATGAACAACACATCTTATGCCTTTTACGATCAGAATCAGCAAGTTTCCAAAAAGAAAAAGAAGCGGAAGGCTGAATCGCTTCTGGGGCCACCATTTCACCTCAAAGATGGCGACACAATCGGCATCAAGGTTTTGAAAACCCTTGTTTGTTTCAAACAATGAGTCTTGTTTGTTTGATTGGTTTTAGAAACACTGAATCCTTTTTTTTTTTTCTCCCCAGAATCTTTTGATTGACAACAAAAGGGAGTTCCTCACCGTGGAGGACGAGCAGGGCCAGCAGAGGCTCAGGGAGCAAGCGGAGCAACGCAGGAAAGGGTGGGACATCTTTACTCAACCTGACCGTTTCATGGCAATCATTGAGTGGTCATTTCGCTGTAATCCCTCAACAAGTCGCCATTATGCTTCATGCCGTACAACGCGTATTCAAAACCCTTTGTTGCCCTTGCGTCTTTGCAGAGCAGGCTCTGAGCGCGTTGGACAACAGGAGAAGACTGGCCTGAGCAAACCCAGAAAACCGGAGGTAGCGCTGTCAATCAACGTTGGGGTATTCAGATAGCACTCGGACAAATGCAACCTACACAACCACACACAGGTGCCGCGATGCCATTGGGACAATCCACTTGATGTCACTCATGCCATTTTCTTTTCTGTATTTCTCCACAAATCCTTAAATGACTACAATTAAATCATTTTGTTGAAAGGAAGAGAAATATTTAATTTAGGTAATCAGCTGTTTTATTACAATTTACCAGAATTTGTATTGTTTCTATACAATATTACTGGATCTCTTGTAAGATGCCTCATGTTGGTCTTGCTTCCTCTTGCTGTCTAAATATCAACCACCACAGATGCTCTAATTGCAATTGTATCATCAAGGATATACCTAAAATAAATGTTAACTGTGTGGACCAGTAGTTAAGAGAAGCAGGACAAACTGTTTCCATACTTTCAAAGGTTTTAGTACAAGCCAGGAAGGAAATCACAATTACTTATTGTTGGTTTCTGATGAACCTGTCACTGTGTGCCGAGAAGAAAAAACGTTTCATGTTTGCATCATGGGATTTGATTTTAGGTTGATAAAACAGGAGAAATGCCTTAATGTGGAGAAGCCTCGATGCAGCTCTGTCCTCCCTACCTCGCTCTCTTCTCTCTCTCTCTCATTCTACCTCTGCTTCCACCCCCAACTTCTTTTATGTAACTCACAATGACTCAAACTCTGTTTGATTTATGTGACATGACACAACTGACATGAACCACCAGCTGTCAAAATGTAGATGACTACTTTTCTGTACACGGTTAAATAACTTGGCGTTCATCAGGCACAGTCCACCCTCTTTACTGCCGACACTTGAAGCAGACTTTCACCTCAATCTATTAATTTAGTATTAAAAGGAACGGACAGGAATAGCTACATGTTTGGCTCTATCTGTGATGGATGAATTTAGCTGCTTGCAAATATATACTGTAAATCAGTTCTGCAACTATTTTCTTTAATTTAAAGATCGCAGATTTTTTTTATTGTGGAACTTCTAATGCATCATTTGCATGCACCATGTGAACTTCAGGAAAGTTAATAAGCGTTATTATTGATTTTATTTTTAAAAGAAACTAAATAATTGAACTATAAAGTTGGATATTTTTTCTGAGTTTTAAAACTCTACATGGAGCCTTGATCATTGCTTTCTACATACTCGGCAATAGTGAGAATGAAGTTTGTTTATTTAGTACGGTTTTTCATTATATTTTGGGATGTTAATGATTCTACTGTTTTAATTCAGTAGACATCTGTTTGTATATTATATCAACAATAAAGTTTGCTGCTGATGAAACATTGCTGCTTTTGTGATCCATTAAGCTACATTGCTCGATGAATGGACATTTTTATTTTGTATACACATTCATGGTGCTTATGATGCTTTCTAATGACTTTGGTGATCCCAATTTTATATCATATCATCATAGAGACCAAAATAAAGGTTTGTTAATTTGTAGAAGTTTAAAGGAACGGTCAATCATCCAAATAGAAAAGGTGAGTCTTTTTAGGGTTTTAACTAGGGAATCAACCTTAGTAATTACACCTTTTTCTTTAACACCATTACCAGGGCTTAACATGTTCAATTGTTTTTCAAGTGATGCCCCTCCATTTAGCCTTAGCCTTTATGTATTAATTTGTTGGGGGTTTTTAATCATCTATCAACAAATGTTATATATTATCACCCTGTATGTAGCATGCTGGCTTTAGTAGCCTGTGTTACACAAAGCCGGTAGCGTGGCTGTAGAAAAAATAATATTGACTTTATTCCTATTTATCAGCTATGTATACTAGATATTTGATAGAAAAAAAAACGTTTTACATTATTTGTCTTTGTATTAACTCTAAACAAACGTAGATTTTGTATTGTCATGTTTAAAGAACCGAGATAGGCGTGTTTTGTATGTGTGGACGTTTTGTCACGACCAATCACAATCTACAAATATGTAGGACAACCAATTAGAATTCCCGCTGCCGCTCAGGACCCGCCCTCTCTCCCACTATTAATTCGGCAGGCAGACACGCTGCAGGATTTATTGCACAGAGAACGGACACCTTTTGATAGTAAAATACCGAACTGAACCAATAGTATCTGCAAAAATGGTTGATGCTTTCTGCGGCACATGGAAACTGGTCGACAGCCAGAACTTTGATGAGTACATGAAGGCACTAGGTAAGATAGTTAACCTTTTTACTTCAAATGTTATTTATTGTAGGCAATATTGCATTCCGGAAAGGTTGCTTAGCTTTCTCAAATATTTTCTCATGAGTACAGAACTAAAGTAAATGTCTGTTATTGTCTTTATGTACAGCATAATAATGCATTACTACTAAAGGCCCCTTTTTGTTGGACAGGTGTTGGTTTTGCCACTAGACAAGTGGGCAATGTCACCAAACCAACAGTAGAGATCAGCCAGGACGGAGACAAAGTGGTGATTAAAACGCTCAGCACCTTCAGGAACACTGAGATCTCCTCCAAACTTGGAGAGGAGTTTGATGAGACCACAGCTGATGACCGACATGTCAAAGTAAGCTGAGTAAAGACTAGTTGGAATCTTCACTCTGACAAACATTTGGAGATGTTTTAATTTTGTACTCTGCTTGCAGTCTATCTTCTCCACGGAAGGAGACAAACTTGTGCAAGTGCAGAGATGGGATGAAAAGGAGACAAAATTTGTCAGAGAAATCAAGGATGGGAAGCTGGTGGCGGTAAGATTGAATAATACACACAATTTAATGTAGTAGGAAATAAACTACTACAAGTGAGAAATAACTTTTTACTTAAATGTGATCAGTTTATCGATCCTGTATCCCTTTTATTTAAAAATGGCATTGCCTGTTATTGTAATACCTGATTCTATATGAACTGCAGAAAACTTGTTTTTGTTGATACTTAAAACCACATGTGAGTATTAACCAGCATCATGTAATATAGTTTGTCTCTTCTTTGCCTCCCAGACTTTGACTTTCGAGGGAGTCCAGGCTGTCCGCACATACGAGAAAGCCTAACTTTTCCATCCACTTTCATGTGCAAATCATTTATCCACTGCAAACACTACACCAGTTACGCCGTGATTTGCTGTTGAAACATGAGATAAATATTTTGAAAAATGATTTTATAAGATCTATTGTTAGAAATTCCCACTGTGAAGGGCCTAAAAATGTTTAAAATAAACTGGTCGTCGAAACCTTAATGTCTCAGCGTTTTTCATTTGGTATTTAAAAGTCACGAGTGTTCCATCAGTACCACTTTCAGATGAATAAGTCAACCTAAGTTGTGGGAACAGCACTTTCCCTGTGACGGGCCGGGTCGCAGGTGACAGCTGCAGGGTGACGGGGCCGGCCAGCAGCAGCAGCAGCCAGTGAGAAACTCACGGGAATGAATGTCCTTTAGTAACTCCCAGATGGTCTGAGACGATGAGGAGCCGGAGGGGCGGGGGGGCTGGTGATGTCACACGCCCCGGGGTAATCCGGTTTTAGTCGTGGTGTCATTACGTAGAGGCATCATGCGATGGTGTGTGGACCAACTGAGATTGAACGCTGCCGCTGGCGTGACGGGGGACAGCCAGCCAGCGGTAAGAGATCACACCGTGCCGGATGTAAGCAGCTCGTGTCAGGTTGAGATCCTAAAGTTAATAGTTCAAAACGTACAATTTGAATTTGTCAATTAAGTTTGGCAGTATTTACACCACTTCTCAATTCTCTTTTGTGTTCTTTTTCAAATTCAACCATCTATACTCCCGTCTTTCCCACGTTCCCAGAAGCCAAGCTCTCCTGCCCTGTGAGCGCTGTCCTGCCTACTGAACACTTTGACTACAAGTGGCCATTCTTCTTGTCTCAATGCACAGGCCGCCGAGGTTTTTGGCCATCTCTGAATAGAGTGCGACACAAAGAAACTGTGGTAACTGGAGTGGAATTCATTTGTCTGTTGCTCACTGAATGAATTTTAAACAATTACTTACTTCATGCTCCAGTTCTAGTAAGCCAAAAGATGCCTACATTCCCACACAAGCAGGCAATGTGATCTTGTTAGTGTTTAGGGGCGAGCCGGTTACAAGAAGTTTATGTAGCAACTTTCTCAGCAGCACAATCGCGCTGAAAATATAGAAAAAGGAGACCGTCCGCGTTGGAGAAACCGTGAGAAATTACTGTTTAGCGTAACTCTTTTTCTGCTCTAAGTGCGCTACCCAGGAGGGCCGGGGGAGTTTCCTCTTTGTTAGCGGTGTAAACTGACCAGAGGTAACCCCTCTCTGGCCTCATTAGGGCAATTCAGCGCGAGGAACTCACCCTCTCCTCTCAGTTTGTATGGATTTACTGTTTGTGTTGGAAAGATGAGAATTAACAACAGAAACACTTGCTATGTTTTAATGTCACATTGCTACTCTTCACATAGGCACATTCGTTTGGTTACAGTTAAAGCAGTTGCAGTAGTGATGATAAATCGATCAATCTTGCCACTTATTTAACAATTTACAATAAGATTATTTCAAATGTGACTCGATAACTTCCAATGTGTTGCTATTCTCAAAGGAGGTAAAAACCATCACAAAAAACATTAAACACGAACACACTTCATGCATATTTCATTCAAGGACTAAAAGATAAATGTACAGGGTTCTGATCAATCAGATATTCATAAATTAATTCTGTATTGCACATCCTGACAAGTCCATTTCAGGTCAAATTCAATTCAAACCATAAAAACAAATATTCCTCTATTGTCCACTCAAATCAAAACGCCATTTGTCATTCTAGCAGCAATATTTTGCTCCAATTCTGCATCTCAAAATACACATGCAAAGACAGCAGGCTGCGACTTTTGGAAAAAGGACCTATGCCCCATCGACTGCATGGACTATTATTCTAACCAAACAGATAAGGGGATTTGAGTGGACTTGGGATAAGTGGCACAAGCTCCACGAACTGTCTTCTATGCGGCATATGGAGCAGAATTTAAAGAGGCACAGGTAAACAACAGCTTGTACGGGCTGAGAGTCCACGTACCAGTTTACATCCGAGATCATGTGACGCCATCTGCATCCATTTAAAGTGTAGCCACATGATGTGCAGATATTTTCAAATGTGTAAATGTTTCTTCTCAATGTTTCACTTTGATACCAACATAACCACCGTAGCAACATCCAGGTCTTCAAAACCTGCAGAGCTGATTATCGCAGCTCTTGTCATCATCTTTCACACGATCACTCTTCAGAGATTTCAAAAATATAACTTGGATTCAAGTTCTGACCAGTAATTGTATTCAAAATCAATCTGAAATAATGTCACCCATACTGTACAGCACAGGATATTTGTTAAAGGTAATACAAATCCTTTGCATGTAATATAAGTTATGCATGAATAAAATGTCATATGTTAGGAACCTGTTCAAAAGGTTGCTGCAATATATCATGTAGGCTATTTACATATTTGCACACATTTTTGGTCTATCGAGTGACCAGTGCAACTGTGCGAGACAATTCTTTTACTCGCTCTCTCTTATTGACTTCAACAAGTTTCATCAAATTCAAACGCCTAAAGTCAAGGAATTGGAACCGAGTGAGCAGTTGGGAAAATCCTTTTACAACACGTCTTCATTCATTCTGACAGGTACAGGCGAGGCAATGCTCGTTTTCAGCGCCAACGCCCAAATGAGGAGCGTGTGCATATGTCCACAGTTAAATAAGACTTTATAGGTAGCGTTTCATCAGTACGTCTGGGAGCTCTCATATACAATGCGTGGTCATTCCTTTAGACACATTACAGGCCGTAGTCAAAAACGGAAAAATACATCTCTCTCGTAAGATAGAGGAACGTGAAAAACAAGGTTTCCTTGAAATTAATGAAATGATATCAAGAATAATGGAATAATAAACAAACACTACAAATGCCCAATTGTTAATTCCAGGGCTTTAAAAGCAAAATAAAATACGCACTAAAAATCTGCCCATAAACAATGCGATGAAGGACAAAGTTGAAATTACATATGGTGCATAACAATCTTCTTACTATTTCTCTACGAACCACTTTTCAAGTAAACGCTGGGAATCGACGCTCTGTCCACCTTTAATCCACAATTGTGGCCATTTTGTATCTTGTTTAAAGCCTTGTGCTCCTTCTAAAAAAAATGCATTTGCTTGTGTTGCTGTGGGGATCTAAATGAATGATCCACGGAGGTAATACTCGACATAGTTCCACCATTCCACCAAGATATCCACCTTTAAAAACCATTGAACACACAAAATAAATAACAAAACGGAAAGGAATGACACCGGCTGCATGTATTCGGTACGAGAGCTCAACCAAATCTGGAAGTGAAAGAAAGTCCGACCGTCACATTAAATCCCCCATCATCCTTTGCTGTTCGTGGTTTTCTCGTGAGAACCAACAGCAGGCTGCGTTCAGCAGCGCAGGGTGTGACCAGGTCATTATCAGTAAAATTGACAAAAATTGTAAACCTCAGACCGGATTTAGACTGAAGCCTCAAATATGCATCGGCGAGAAGGCGTGGAAAGGAAATTGGGCCTCGTCCTCGTCCAAAAAGAAACACTGGAAGTAGGGCAGCTCTTCTGCGGAGGACAATAAAACATTCAGTACAGTTGAGTACACTTTGACCCTCGCCTCGCTCTGACAGAAGAAGACCGCGCATGCAAGCTACACATTTGAGTGACATTTGCCTTATGAGACTGGGCTTTTGTACTTACCTTCAATTTGGAAGCTGTCTGATACAGAAGGCCCAGCTATCAAAATAAGAACACAATTGTAATCATAAAACAATAGTGTTACATTACTCAAAAAGACTGCTTTCCAATACAGTACCTTTTATTTTCTCCTCCATGGCAGCTTTCTTCTCAGTAGATCTTTCTACAAAAAAAGAGCATTTTCTTTGTTTAAAAAAGTTAGTATATTAAATGTCATAAAGTTAGGTCAGAATTAGGTTGCTGTACCTTTCTTTGCTGGCTCTTGTATTTCTTTAAGAACTCTATCCTCTGGAAATAAAATATACACCAGATAAATAATAATTATCAGTTAAAGATACAAAACCACTTCCTGCAGGGGAGACAGCAACTGTTACTGGTACTGCACCTTTAGCTTTCTCCTCCTTGGTTGTCCTCTTCTCAAATGTTTTTTCTAAAATCAAAAAATAAAGTTGATTTCTGTCCATTAATAAATCCTGTCTACAGTGTACAGTAGGTGAGCAGGCGTGATTTAAACAGGTACAAAAGCAGATTTTTGACAATCAAGATACCTTGTTTTACAGGCTCTGCGTTTTCTTTACGAACTCTGACCTCTGCAATGAATCACAAAGTTTCCATAATTGTACAGGATGTCATGCATGTAATGAAATAATTGACCACTACTTAAAGGTTGTATGTACCTTTCTTTGCAGCAGAGGTTTTGACCTTTTCTTTTAGAACCTCGGGTGCTGCTTCAGAAATATGAAACATGAAACAATATGAAACAAACAGTACACAACAACAGTAGTAAAGAAATGGACAATTCCAGCTTCATTGCCGGGCATGAAAAAAGTTATTTGACAGCTCAGAGAGTTAAAGGGATTTTAAGTTAAAGGGATTTCCTTTCTCGCTTGTATGAGCCAGTGTGGCATATACACATTTTCATTTTTGTTCCAGAATAACAGAATGGCAAACATTACTTTGAATGTATAATTAGTTGTAAAAGGACAGGCCTAAGGCCCAATGGCAAAGTAAACACATCAGCCTCTCAGGATTGTTAAAACAACAGCATGCTTGTTCAGTCATGTACTGAATTATATTGCTCAATTCTACGCCCTCGATCTACGATGCATGTTCCATAGATAATCTGTGCTATTTCGTAAACCACAGATAAACCACAAAATAGTTTCTTAAATTGATCTAAATAGTCGTTAAATAAGATCAAAGTGTCCTCGGACTAAACACTGTACCTTTCTTCACTGCAGCCAGTTTGCTCTTTTCTTTAGGAGTCTCCAGTTCTACAAAAGGGGAGATAAGGACAACTCTGACATTCGGGACCCAGAACTTGAGAGCCACTATTAGCGTGTCCTTCAACTATGCATATTGCAGCTGCAGGGCCACAGCAATACAACAACAATATTGGTTTAACCTCTAGAAGCAGCTTGCAGAGGATGAGGGATCTACAACTAGAAAGCAGTTATTAGTTTTAAACTGCAGTTTTATATTTTGGATTTGTTCCT